GCAATGCCATGGACTGTAGGGCCTCAGGCTCCTCTTTACATGGGGTTCTCCAGGCAAGAATACTGGAGTGGGTTGCTAATTCCTCCTCCAGGGGATCTTCCTGAAACAGGGATCGAACCCCTCTCTCTTAAGTCTCTTGCATTGGCAGGGAGGTGCTTTACCACTGAATCACTTGGGAAGACCCTCCCTCCCCCCACACACATATAACACAACATCGTAAAGCAACTATATCCCAAACAATATTAAAAATTATTTTTGTAGATTATTGAATTCAATTTACTAATGTTTTCTTGTGAATTTTTTGCACAGATATTCCTAGGGAATATTGGCCTGTATTTTTTCCTTTTGTTATCTTTTTCTGATTTTCAGAGTAATTCTGGCATCATAAAATGAGTTGGAAAGTTTTCCTGCTCTCTTGTCTTTTGGAGTTTGTAAAAAATTAATATTAATTCTCCTTGAAATATTTGGCCGACTTCACTGGTAAAATCATCTGAACCTGGTCTTTTATTGGTGGGTCTTTTATTGGTCTTAAATTACAATGTTATCTCTTTACTTGTGATACACTTATTTTCTATTTTTTCTTGAGTCAGTTTTGGTAGTTTGTGTCTTTCTAGGAATTTGTCCCTTTCATCTAAGTTATTGAATTTGCTGACATACAGTTGTTCACCGCTTTCCTTATAATCCATTTTATTACATCAATGTTGGCAGTAATGTGCCTGCTTTCATTCCTGGTTTTAGTAATTTGTGTTTTCTCTCTTTTTTTCTTAGTCGATCTAGCTAAAGTTTTGTCGATTTTGTTTGTTCTTTCAAAGAACTGATATTTGGTTTCGTTGATTCTCTCTATTGTTTTTCTGTTCTCTATTTCATCAGTTTCTGCTCTAATTTTATTATTTCCTTTTTTCTGTTGCCTTTGGTTTAGTATGCTCTTCTTAGTCTATTTTCTTAAGGTGTAAAGCTATTGACTTAAAATCTTTTTTAATATAGGCATTTAGAGTCATAAGTTTATGAAAGATTGTGGACTATTTTTGGCCTGCAGAAAATACAATAGTTTTACCAGTAAAACTGAATTATAATTTAATTAATACTTGGGTGTTTCAGCTTAGCCTCATTCTATGGCAGACAAACATCCAAAATGCACAGGTTATGTACATAAACTCCAGTGAGCTTTATTAATAACTCCAGTTACTGTTATTCAAAGAGTTCATAGAATTTTGACTCCTGAAGGGTGATTTACTTGATGACAATTGTGAAACATTCTCAAACCTGTCACATGCAGTAATTCTGTCCTCTGAGAAATTGTTACTGGCATTTGCAAGCATGGCAGAAATGTAACAAATTGTCGCCAAACCATTTGCTTGTTTGAATGCCAAGGTTTCCTTCCCCACATTGCATGTGGTGTCCTGCTGCCAGCAGTTATCAAAATACTCCCACAGTTTTCACAGAGAGAATTGTTCAGGGAGTTACTATTTCTCTATTCTTGTTGTCCCTCTATTTCATGGCTTTTGCCACTTGTACTTGGAAAGTTACTTGAATAATCTGCATAATGTCAGTATAGAGCAGTTAGACATTAAGTAAGGGATTAAAAAAACCAAGAATATCTGAGACATAGCCATGGTGGTTTTGTCCCTAAGTCATGTCCGACTCTTGCGATCCCATGGACTGGTTTCCTGCCAGGCTGGTCTGTCAATGGGATTTTCCAGGCAAGAATACTGGAGTGAGTTGCCAATTTCCTTCTACAGGGGATCTTCCTGACCCAGGGATCGAACCTGAGTCTCCTCCATTGCAGGCAGATTCTTTGCCGCCGAGCTACCAGGGAAGCCTAAGACATAGCTCTAGATACATATACAGAGTGCAGCGAGATCAGGAAGGATGTTTTTCATACTTTACCCTCTATATGTTCCTAATGTTTGGATTTTTACAGACAGACTATGCTGTTTGTGTAATGTAAAGCTGGAAAAAAAATCATAAAAATAGTTAAGAGGGAGTCTAGAGGAAAACACCAAGAAAAATCTAATTATAGCAAATGATTCTAATCAGGGAGATACAGTTAGGTGGCCAAACCTTTATAATAGGATTTGGAGATACAATTCAGCCCTTTGAACCAAAGGAAGTTTGGAATGATTGGCTCTGAGTTTGCATTTTCTTTGATGACTCCACTGAACAGGTGAATGCCTGGCCTGGTTAAAAAAGTGCTCTCATCTGAAACATAAAACGAGCAAGATTAGAAGGTATGACCTGGACCCCAGCTGCGAATTTGAAGAGGCGGGAAAGTGTAACCTTCTACCACTGTGATAATATTTGCAACTATCATCTGGAATAAACACATCTCTGCTTCATCTTGTGTGCTAGTGAGTTCAGTGGACGTTTTGGAAGCCCTTATCTGTCTTTCAAATGATACATGTTTGACCAAGCAGTTCCACTGCTAGGACACTCTTCTTCGGAATACTTACACCAGGGCACAGATTTTTAGATACCTAGATGCTCATTGCTGCAAAATATTCCATTTCACAGAATACATCAAAGAGAGTATGGCTGTGTAAGTTATGACCCAACTGGCCCAAGGTCTCAGGGCTAAGAAGTGGGGATCTGGGATCTGACTTAGGCTTTTAGTCCTCACAATAACGTGTTTCCTGAGTTAGCTTGTGGCTGCAGTTGGCTCTGGGTGTTCACAACTCAGCTTGGGTGTTCTTCCCAGGGCAGGTCAAGATTGGACAGTGGGGACAGGAGAGAGGACAGGCAGATGTCACAACTGAGGGATAAGGAATAAGACAGGGCAAGTCAAGACTTTCCAATAGCAATAAAGAGTGGAAAAAAGGCTATGCATAATTAAGGGAGAGCGATTCTGTGAAAGTATTCTATTTCATTGAAAGAGCATCACTGGGACCTCCCTAGTATTCAGAGGCTAAGACTCTGCACTCCCAATGTAGGGGACCCAGTTTGATATTTGGATGCGGGAGGCCCAGGTTCTATCCTTGGGTCGGGAAGATCCCCTGGAGAAGGGAATGGCCACCCACTCCAGCATTCTTGCCTGGGAGAATCTCATGGACAGAGGATCTTGGCTGGCTACAGTTAATGGGGTTGCAAAGAGTTGGACACGACTGAGCAACTCACACTTTCACTTTCTTTCCCAGATCCCACATGCCACAACCAAGAGTTCAAACACTGCCACTAAGACCCAGCGCAGACAAAATAAATTAAAAAAGAAAAAAGAAAAAAGAGCATTACCTTAGTTAAGGTCCCCCCCCCCCCCCCCCCCCCCCCCCGCTGCCAGGAGCATGACCTATCTCCCTGCCAACCCCCCTCCCATTCTAAAAAAACTCTAAGTTTGTAGTGATTGTTTCCATTCTGAAATAGGCTGTGAGGGGGTGGTACTGAAGGAGGAGTTAACTTCTGGAGAAGCAAGCTTGTATCTGCTCCTTTTCATCAAAGAAAGTCCATGTGTTTGAGGGATTAGTGCCTCTTTGAAACCCTAAGCAAATGGGAGAATTCTTGCAGTGTCCACCACGCTGTGAACGGAAGACAGAAGCCTTGGTGTGGCTATCACCGAGTGGGAGGAAGCCAAGCATTCTGGAGACACATGTCCGTCTCAGGAGTCCGGGCATTTTTCTCATGCCCTGTTATCTGCAGTCATCCCAGACGCGACACCCACATTCTGTGTGACCTTGAGCCAAATACTAGCCTTTTCTGTAACTCATCTTCTCCAGCCATTAAATGAGGTGGTGTGTGTGTGTGTAATAAATGATCCTTACTCTCTCTTCAACTTGTGATTTAATTGACAGTTTTCAAAACTTTACGGAGCCATTAGTATTTTAAATAAAAATTATTTGGTATTTATTAATGAAAGTGGAAGTGTTAGTCACTCAGTCGTGTGAGATTCTTTGTGACCCTGTGGACTGTAGCCCACCAGGCTCCTCTGTCCATGGAATTCTCGAGGCAAGAATACTGGAGTGGGCTGCTGTTTCCTTCTCCAGGCTATCTTTCCAACCGAGGGATCGAACCCACATCTGTATTGGCAGGTGGATTCTTTACCACTGCACTATCTGGGAAGTCCATTTATTAATGAGAAACAAAAAAATTATGTTACTTTCTTAACACAGTTTATACACACGTGTATATATACACATTTTAAAAAAATGTAAAATATTAAACCTGTTTTAATAAACAGTTATTAATGAGTCAGAAACAAAAAATTGTGTTACTTTCTTAACACAGTTTATACACACATATATATACACATTTTTAAAAAACATAAAATATTAAATATTTATAAAAGCATAAAGTATGATAAACTCTCTACCTTGATGATCTGTATCCTTATTTCTCTCTTTACTATTAGGAAAAGAACTGTTTAAGGTTTTCTTATGGTATAAAGAAGAAAGGGTGGTTTAAGGAGGAAGTGAACTATATGTACATCTTTATATTCAACTGCATTTCACTTCTCCAGAAATCCATCAGCACACGCACACACACACACACACACACACACCCTCCACCGCCACCTTAGCTCATTAAGGAGTTGGTAAGAACTGATGCTGAAGTGAGGGGCTTCCCTGGTGGCCCAGTGGTCAAGAATCCACCTGCAACTCAGGAGACAAGGGTTCGATCCCTGGGTTGGGAAGATTCCATGAAGGAGGAAAGCACAGCCAGCTCCAGTAAGCTTGCCTGGAGAATTCCATGGACAGAGGAGCCTGGTGGGCTTCAGTCCATGGGGTCGCAAAGAGTCAGACAGGACTGAGCAACTCAGCTCACATGCACGCCCGATGTTGAAGTGAAGTACCATTTAGCCATGGGCTGCACTTGTTTTTCCTTCTCTTGCTATTTCTCAGCAGCAGCTTGTCCATCCTCACTTGTCAGGCCAGGTGCAAGCTAGGGGTGTTAAGCCCTGATGTGAGATGATTGATAGAAACGTGTGTGTGTTTAGCATGCAGGAAATGTAAAATGCATAGCAAGTGCTTCTTTATTGAATTTCTTAACCACAGCTTACTTCGTGTGCTTCCCAGATCTCCGAGTACAGGGGCCGTCACTGGCCGGGAGCCCCAGTTGCGGACTCTAAGGCCCATGGCCTTGCTAGCAGCCGCATCATCCTCTTCCTACCAGTCGCTCCAGCCAAAGGCTGGGAGTGGCCGGGACACTAAGGCAGGACCACCCCTGGGGCACTGGGACCCTGCTGATGGTGGGCTTTGGCTCGAGGGCACCCCCACCCCCGTGGCCTTGGGGGCTTGCTCTTTAACCTCCTCTCTCCCTTCCGTCCTCCTCTCCTGTGCGGCATCAGCTTCACCAGACTGAGCCCCTTTATCCTCACAGATGACCCCCTCACACAACCCATGCTTGTTTCAGTCTGTCTGTGCTCTTTCCTCGGGGGACCTAGATGGACACAAACTGATAAAAAAGAAGAACAGTTTTCCAGGCAAAGAACCATGAGTTTGCTCGGTTGCATTTTTGTTCAAAAACGGAGGGAAATGGCTGATTCATATCAATCTATGGCAAAAACCACTACAATGCTGTAAAAAAAAAAAATTAAGTTAAAAAAAAAATCATTGTCCAAAGCTTAAAAAAACAAAAAAAGGTGGAAAATAAGAGCATCTACTTGAATTAGCGGACTAAGGACTCAAGAACTCTCCAGCATACATAAGAAATTAATCTCAGTGGTAACCCCCGGTGAGATTTTGGAGAGAACCTGTGAATGGGGACCATGGTGTGTGTACCATACAGTATATATATATATATATATATATATATATTTGATTTTCCAAGTGAATAAATGCATAATCATTTGAAGATGTAGAGTCAAATATTTGGCTCAAAAAACATGTAAAGTTGAGAAAAAAGAAAGCATTTTTGGGAGATGGATCTGCATTTGAGCTCATCTCTTGATGGGGGAGAGTAACTGGGCTACTGGATTCCAGATTTCAGCATTCTGCTTCTGGAAGGAGACATCTATGACCTCATCCTCTGACTCCAGAGAGAAGGCAGATGCCTCCTGCCAGACACCACTGGACTTGGTTGTGGGACTTGCTGGGTTCGGGGACTGGGACGCTGAGAACCAGGTGACTGGGAGGCTGAAAACCAGGTGGGTCTGAGTAGATGCGCTATAGAGTCCTGAAAAGTCCTTGCTTTCTTTCCTCTCTGCCACAGAAGTGCAAGTCCCAAGCAGGGACTGCTTCTGAAAGGGAGCAGGACCCTATGGTTCTTGCCCCCACTCCCCACCATGTCCTCTGCCTGCCTTTTATCTGTGGGAAAACTTTAGCCCAAGAATAAATTTAATCAGAGAAATGAGAAAAGGCAGAAACAAAGGAAAACAGTCAAAGGAGACCAAATAATAATTACATAGTCATTAAGCATGGTCACACAGCTATGAGAAGAAGAAAAGCGAAAGGCAAAGGAGAAAAGGAAAGATATATGCATTTGAATGCAGAGTTCCAAAGAATAGCAAGGAGAGATAAGAAAGCCCTCCTCAGCGATCAATGCAAAGAGATAGAGGAAAACAATAGAATGGGAAAGACTAGAGATCTCTTCAAGAAAATTAGAGATACCAAGGGAACATTTCATGCAAAGATGGGCTCAATAAAGGACAGAAATGGTATGGACCTAACAGAAGCAGAAGATATTAGGAGGAGGTGGCAAGAATACACAGAAGAACTATACAAAAAAGATCTTCATGACCCAGATAATCATGATGGTGTGATCACTCACCTAGAGCCAGACATCCTGGAATGTGAAGTCAAGTAGGTCTTAGGAAGCATCACTATGAACAAAGCTAGTGGAGGTGATGGAATTCCAGTTGAGCTATTTCAAAACCTAAAAGATGATGCTGTGAAAGTGCTGCACTCAATATGCCAGCAAATATGGAAAACTCAGCAGTGGCCAGAGGACTGGAAAAGGTCAGTTTTCATTCCAATTCCAAAGAAAGGCAATGCCAAAGAATGGTCAAACTTCTGAACAACTGCACTTATCTCATACACTAGCAGAGTAATGCTCAAAATTCTCCAAGCCAGGCTTCAACAGTGCGTGAACTGTGAATTTATAGATGTTCAAGCAGTTTTTAGAAAAGGCAGAGGAACCAGAGATCAAATTGCCAACATCTGTTGGATCATCGAAAAACAAGAGAGTTCCAGAGAAACATCTATTTCTGCTTTATTGACTATGCCAAAGCCTTTGACTGTGTGGCTCACAACAAACTGTGGAAAATTCTTAAAGAGATCAGAATACCAGACCACCTGACCTGCCTCCTGAGATAATCTGTATGCAGGTCAAGAAGCAACAGTTAGGACTAGACATGGAACAATGGACTGGTTCCAAATTGGGAAAGAAATAGTCAAGGCTGTAAAGTGTCACTCTGCTTATTTAACTTATATGCAGAGTACATCATGAGAAACCCTGTGTTGGATAAAACACAAGCCGGAATCAAGATTGCCGGGAGAAATATCAATAACCTCAGATATGCAGATGACACCACCCTTATGGCAGAAAGTGAACAGGAGCTAAAGAGCCTCTTGATGAAAGAGGAGAGTGAAAAAGCTGGCTTAAAACTCAACTAAGATCATGGCATCTGGTCCCATCACTTCATGACAAATAGATGGGGAAACAGTAGAAACAGTGGCTGACTTTATTTTTCTGGGATCCAAAATCACTGCAGATGGTGATTGCAGCCATGAAATTAAAAGACGCTTACTACTTGGAAGGAAAGTTATGACCAGCCTAGACAGCATATTAAAAAGGAGAGACATTACTTTGCCAACAAAGGTCCGTCTAGTCAAAGCTATTGTTTTTCCAGTGGTTATGTGTGGATGTGAGAGTTGGACTATAAGGAAAGCTGAGCACTGAAGAACTGATGCTTTTGAACTATGGTGTTGGAGAAGACTCTTGAGAGTCCCTTGGACTGCAAGGAGATCCAATCAGTCCATCCTAAAGGAGATCAATCATTAATATTCATTGGAAGGACTGATGCTGAAGCTGAAACTCCAATACTTTGGCCACCTGTTGCGAAGAGCTGACTCATTTGAAAAGACCCTAATGCTGGGAGGGATTGGGGGCAGGAGGAGAAGGGGACGATAGAGGATGAGATGGTTGGATGGCATCACCGACTCAAAGGACATGAGTTTGGGTAAATTCCGGGAGTTGGTGATGGACAGGGAGGCCTGGTGTGCTGCAATCCATGGGGTTGCAAAGAGTCAGACATGATTGAGTGACTGAACTGAACTGACTGAAGCATAGTCACCTCCTCAAGGTGGTGCTAATGGTAAAGAACTTGCCTGCCAATGCAGGAGATGGAAGAGAGGTGGGTTTGACCCCTGGGTCAGGAATGAGGAGGAAATGGCAACTCATTCCAGTATTCTTGTCCTGAAAATCCCATGGCCAGAGGAGCCTGGAGGGCTGCAGTCCATGGGGTTGCAAAGAGTCAGACATGACTGCGCAGAGCAGCACAAGGGTTTTGGATAATATTCTAAGCTATAGCCTGTGAGTTGTCTTATAGATACCCAAATCCCCAGCAGGTGGAAAAGTTAACGACATGATGAGGAGACTGTAGCTGTGACATACAGTATGACACAATTCCAAGAGCTGGCCTCCAAGAAATGCTAACTAACCCTGGAACTGAAGATTAACTGTACTTAAAACAATCACAATGATGCTTGGTCAGACCACCGATGACCAGTTTCAAGATGACTGTTGGAGCTGACTGTGCTGATTCTGCATGTAGACCTCTCCCTTTGCTGTAAAGGCTCTTGCCCCTTGATTGTCAGTGGGGGGATTCGGCCTTTGGACATGAGTGCCCCCTCCTCCGCCCAATCCTGAGTTGCTGGCATCTGAAATTAAGCAAACTTTCCTGTCCATCAACCTGGCTTTTCTATTGGCTTTTGAGTGGAGAGCACTGGACCCCAGTTTCAGTAATGCTTCTATAACTTGAAATCTGGGATAAGGTTGGAAAGACTCCCGCAGCTGCCCCAGAAATGCAGTGTGAGCAAAACCAACTTCTGTGGTTGAAAACTACTGTGGTCACTCCCCCATATCTTATTTGGAAAAATTTGAGAGTAAAGTTGAAAGAGCGGGACCATCAACACCTCACTTAGCCTCACCAATTGGTTGCATTTTGCTCCCACATTTGTTTAATTGCTCTTGCCCCCTTGATGTTTGCTGGACCGTTTGACCGTTTGAGAGTAACTAACCAGCGTTAAGGATGCTGCACTCCTAAATAGTTCAACATTATATCCCAAGAAAATGGTCTTTCTCCTCTATCAGTACAATGATCACATCCACAAATATGACATTGATACAAGAATATTATTTAGCATACAGTTCATATTCAAATTGCTTTCATAATCATATCCTTTGTACATTTTTTTCCTTTCTGATCCAGGATCCAAGCAAGGATCAAACAGGTATTAGTTGCATGTCTCTCTCCTCTCCTTTAATTTAAAACAGGTCCTTGACCTTTTTTGGTCCCTCTTCCATGAAACTGGCATACATACATTTTAAAATTAATTTTTATTGGAGTATAGTTGCTTTACAGGGTTTTGTTAGCTTCCACCGTACAGCAAAGTGCCTCAGCTCTACATATACACGTGTCCCTTCTCTTTCTCCCCATGTAGTCACCACACAGCATTGAGCAGAGTTCCTTGAGCCACACAGTAGGTTCTCTAGTTATCTTTCACACATGGTATTGAAACTGTTATTTTTGAAGAGTTCAAGCCAGCTGCTTTAAAAAATGTATCACTTTTTGAACATATCTGATTTTTCTTCCTCTTAATTCTCTAGATTCAGGGTCAACATTTACAGTAGGAATACTTCATTGGTGATGTGGTTTATTTCACAGCTGGGAGGCACAGACAATGTTAGATTGCCTCAATTTGTGTGACGACAGGTTTGACTATTATGTTAAGGTGGTATCCACTGGGTTTCTCCATTGAAAAGTTTCCTTTATCCCTTTATATTTTGTGGGTAATCTATGGGGCAATATTTGTGAGTATCTTGATCCTTGACAAGCTTTCCCCATTGCCTTTGGCATCCATGGATGATCCCTTCTGGAACGAATCACTGCACTGCTGCTTGTGGGATGGCTGATCTCCCCCAGGTCTGTTATTCCTACTCTGGCATTTTTTTGTAAAGAAAACATCTTCTCCACTCTCTGCTCCCATTTATCTTTGAGTATCACCACAGGTTCATGGATTTCTAACACATATAACATTATAATCCTTCATCATTTTTCTTTCTGTTAGTTAAACTATCCTAAATTTGTACAATGAGAGCCCCCATTCAAACTGAATCCCGTGTTCTCAATTAGGATAAAGACATACTTGGGGGGATTCTTGACCAAAGATCCATCTCAGGTAGGTCTCTCAAGTTCTCTAAAACTGCACCCCCTCTCTTAGAAAGTGAAGATTATTATGGTTTTTGTGTGAGTCAGTTGTGACTGATTAATTGGTGTGTTCAACATGCCTTGCAATAGGTTGAGTATTTGTTGGACATTATCATCACCAACATCCTTCCAACCAAATTAATTATCTATGATACTTGTGACTTACAATTACTGCTTCCAATGCAATTTATGATGAAATTTGCTTAAATTTACATTCTGAAGCTTTAAGTATTGCTCTTCTGAAGGCAACTAGATGGGGTTAAATGGGGACAAACTTTAGTGAAACAGTTTCACTAGAAAGCCAGCTTTACTAGCGAAACAAAGATCGCCAAGATTTAAGGAGGAAGCAAAGGATACACCTCCCCCATACATACACATCACACATATATATTGACATATTATATTTCGTGCTTTGAAATAGAATCTTAAGTGAATAAAACTCGGACAGGGTATAAATTCAAGGTAGGACACTTATACTTCTCCTTTAAAAACTGAAGATAATTACCCTGTGCAATTGTGAATGTAAAATTTGGGCCAAGGAGACAGATCTGTCAAGGAACAGAGTAATTTTTTTCTTCCAGTTTTTATAGCTAATGTACAACACTGTTTAAGGCGTACAGCATAATGATTCAATATATATATACGTAATGCAAAATGATTACCACGATGTTTAGTTAACATCCATCACCTCATAGTTTCAAAAACACAACAGTCTTCCCTTGTGATGAGGACTTTAAGAACTTCCTCTTTAGAAACTTTCAAATACACCATATAGCACTGTTGATTACAAACATCATGTACATTACATCCCCAGTACCTACTTACAACTTTGTACCTTGTGACCCCCGCCCAATTTCCCCCACTGGAGGCAGCCTGACGGAGCCATCTGTTCTTTAGTCAGTACCGCCATCTGGTGGTGGTATGTTTCAATAGCAAGTAAAGGAGCAGATGCGGAAAATGCGTGGCCTGAATTTCTTAGCGAAGTCAGTGCTGGTCGCTCTGTCGCTCTTTGCAACTCCATGGACTGAAGTCCACCAGGCTCTTCGGTCCATGGAATTCTCCAGGCAAGACTATGCAGCGGGTTGTTAACTTACACGATTTAAATAAAGCCGTAGCAGTGAACAACTTTGAATAACAGTATTTCCATACTCCACCTCTGGAAGGCTTACTTCAATAGCAGTAACATCCTAGTGCGAGAAAGGAATCAGACACCACGCTGAATGCAAGCGCACTCATCCATTCAGCAAATATACATTGAGCACCCATTGTGGGCCACCCAGCATTCTGGGTGCTTAGGGTTCACCAGTGAACAGGAGACAGAAATTCCACCCTTTAACATGGGTTCCTTTTACCATGCTCGCTATATAGTATGGGAGAAGGAAATGGCAACCCACTCCAGTGTTCTTGCCTGGAGAATCCCAGGGGTCCATAGGGTCGCACATAGTCGGACACGACTGAAGCGACTTAGCATGCATGAATGCATTGGAGGAGGAAATGGCAACCCACTCCAGTGTTCTTGCCTGGAGAATGCCAGGGACAGAGGCGCCTGGTGGGCTGCCATCTATGGGGTCGCACAGAGTTGGACAAGACTGAAGTGACTTAGCAGCAGGAGCTATATAGTATATAAACTAATCTAGATAATTTGTAAAGCACTCTATGGATTACAAAATTCCCTCCAAGTCAACAGGAGGAGTTTTGAGGTCTATATTACTGTTGGCTCAATATAGGCAAAAGCCTTGCAGACAAAGGTCTGTACAGTCAAAGCTATGGTTCTTCCAGTAGTCATGTACAGATGCGAGAGTTGGACCATAAAGCAGGCTGAGCGCTGAAGAACTGATGCTTTTGAACCGTGGTGTTGGAGAAGACTCTTGAGAGTCCCTTAGACAGCAAGGCGATCAAACAAATCAATTCTAAGGAAATTAACCCTGAATATTCATTGAAAGGACTGATGCTGAAGCTGAAGCTCTAACACTTTGGCCACTTGATGCAGAGGCAACTCACTAGAAAAGACCCTGATGCTGGGAACTATCGAAGGTCGGAGGAGAAGGTCACAGACAGAGGACAAGATGGTTGGATGGCATCACTGACTCAATGCGCATGAGTTTAAGCAAACCCCCTGAGATGGTGAAGGACAGGGAGGCCTGGCGTGCTACAGTCCGTGGGGTCGCAAAGCGTAGGACACGACTTAGCGCCTGAAAAGAACAAACAGAAACCGGGTGCAGACTCGCTCAAGTCGCCCTCAGAACTAAGCCTTACAAAACAGAGAGTTAAGCCACGGCAGAGGATGTCATCGGCGTGGTCGGCCGGGCTGCATGAAAGTAGGAGTAAACAGAAGCCACCTTTCCTCGATTTTTCTCCCCAGAAGCGTGTTTTGTGAGCACTAAGGGTTTCGCTAGCCGCCAGGCTCGAACCCGCGGCGGACGGAGGGTGGCAGCACGGGCCGGGCTCTGCGTCTCCAAACGAGACGTTAGTCCCACCTGCGGGGCCCAGGGCCCTCGAATCACCCTCCGCGCTCCCAGAACAAACACGGATCCAGACGCCGGACCTCCGGCGACTGACTCTCAGCGAGGCTTGAGCGCGCCCCCTAGCGGCGGGTGCCGTCCGAGAGCCGGGCCCGGAACGAAACTGTCGGGCGGAACCCAGAGTGCGCGCTCGGAGTTTCCAGGGAAGAGGACGGGGAAGGACCTGCGCGCGGAGGTTCCTACCGTCGCGGAGCAGGCAATGGCGCTGGTGGTCCGGGGGCTGCGGCTCTGGCGGGCCGCCCCAAGCGGCGGGGCTGCTTGGAGTGAGTTATCAGCGGCCGTGGGGACGAGGAGGGAGGCTTAGAGGATGGTGTCTGTTCAGACTGGGCCCCAGGCGGGACCTAGTGGGGAGTCCAGCGGGGCTGGGGCGGGGGAGGGGGGTTAAAGCCGCCGCCCCTCCCGGCCTTGGGGTCCAAATCCCGGGGAGATGAGGGGAAGGGCCGCGGGAGAAGCTTGGGGCGCCCCCTGAGGGGGAGACCACGCTCTGGTGCATAAGTGTCCTTGTTTTCCCATTGAACTCGTGCACGCCTTGCCAAATCCTCTGATTTGGGGTTCCCGGAAAAACAAAACAAAACAAAAAAACAGCATTTCTCCCTCTAGATATGGAGCGATTTGGCGTGGGACCTTCGATCTCTTGGAGCTTTCTTGTCCCCAAGACCTTTTCAAAGCGACAAACTTTGCTCAACTTTGCCTTGGCTGGTCTGCGTTTTGACTCCATTTCCTGGTTACCTTTTTCTTGCCCCTTACTAAGTCTGTAAAGCGCAGATTGGAATTCGATGGAGCAGCTGGTGAGAATTGGAGATCTGATGGTCAAGGCAAAGTGGAAGTAAAGGCGCGGATCTAGGCAGGCTGCCATCTCTTCCGTTGGAGTTTTAATTAATGTTAGAAAGTGGACCTCTGAGCTCATTTCGGCGAATAGCGTTGAAAGTTCCCTTGCCTCCTATTCTTTGGAGGGCGATGGCGGGAGGATGTTCACCTCTTTTGTCAGTATTCACTTTTATTGTAACTTCCTCACAGGGTCTGTGGCCACATCACCTGCTTCTCAGCTGTCACCGACCGAACTGATAGAAATGCAGAATGATCTCTTTAACAAAGAGAAAAACAGGCAGCTGTCACTCACTCCCCGAACTGAGAAGATCGAAGTGAAGCACGTTGGGAAAACTGACCCTGGCACTATCTTTGTGTTGAATAAAAACGTTTCTACTCCTTATAGCTGTGCCATGCGTAAGTAACGGATCAGGGTCCCGTTTTGATGATTTTAAATAAGAAAGGGGAAAAACTGGTGCAGAGGCGACAAGATGTTGTAATGGCTCCCCGAACTCGCCCGTATCTAGCATCTTACTGTGTGTTCGCTGTTGACTTAGCTGTTGAGGATACCAGGGGTCGGGTAAGGTGGGTATTGTAATGCACAGGTTGTCCTGGGACTTGCTTGAATCTAGCTGAGTTTAGAGTGCTGTCACAGTTTCCTGAAGAAGGCAGACCTGAAAGCTTAGCTACTCTTGTGCTTGCCGTTTTTAGAGACACTTGGTTTAATGGGGGTAGTCACTATGTGAGTCCGGTTAGAGGATCTTGAGACAGAGGGACTGCCCTGACCTCAGATGATCAGCTATTTTTTTGGCCTCCTTTTCCTTTCCTGCTCTTTTGTATCTAACTTAACCGTTTTATCTGCTCACTGCTTACCTTGTGTGTATGTTGTGTCTTTGTTTATATGTAGTAAATGTGTGAGTGCATGGCGTGAGTGTGATTGGAGTGAAAATACTTCTTATGTTCATATATTAAAGAAGATAATAATGCCTTGTGTGTGATCTGGTTTGGAGATGAAGGGAGAAGGGCCTCTATGTTATTTTCGATCAGAATTCTTTTGTAACTTTGATAGAACTGGTAATGTTTAAATTCAGAAAGAACAAAAAAGTCGATCCGTAAGTCCTGCATTCTCACTCGAATATGACTGCATTGTTAAGGCTTTTGGAAAACTTAGTGATGATTCCATTTGAGTAATTAGCGTTAGTTAAAAGTTCAAGGTGACCTCCTCGGTGAGTACTCTCAATCTTCCTTTACTTTGGCACTTGAATTAGTACTTAGAGTTGCTTCCTTGTTTGGCAAGCGTTTCTTGAACCTCTGCTCTAGGATAGGTGTTGGAATACAGAGGGGGCTAAGACGGCGCTTAAGCAGTTTTACACGTTTCACAGGTAGAGATGGGAACACTCCCAGCGTAACCCCTGCCCTCGGACTTGCTTCGGTCTCATACTGTCAGTTGTTCAGTACCTGTTTTTTTTTTTTTTAATTTTTTTTTCCCCCCTCTATTGACTACCTGTTATTTCAGACCTAGTGCTAGGCTCTAGATAAATTGAGTGAGCAAAAATAGGCATGATCCCTGCCTTAGGGGGCTTATTTAGACCCTGTGGTTGGACCACTTCTGTGAATATCTTCGTACTCAAAAAACATCTAATCAGGGATACAGTTGCATTCTGGAGTCAAATAACAGGCCGGAGCTGATGTGCTTATGTGTGAATTCATACTGATTACTAAAAACTGGTAACTGTTGTATTTAACTTTAGAGTCTGTGTTAGGGACGTAAGAGTTGATTTCGAAGGAAGGCCCCAAATCCATCTAGAACAGACTTAATGTGGGTGTATATTTTTATATTTTCCCTTCTAAGTTGTGTGTGCATATATTCAGATATATCCATGATGCTTGTCTCTGAATATTTAAGTGTAGCTCATGGCAGATTATTTTATTACTTAATTAACAGATTAATTTCAGATTAGACTTGGCCTTAATGATTTTTGTTTGGGTAATTTTGTTAATAATTAACAATACACTGAATGTGTTGGAAATTATTTATTAGCTGCAAATATTTATTTCTCCTCATAAAAGACAGCTTGCCAAATCTTGCCTTTCTGTTTTTTTTATTTATTAACGTAGCACTTAAACATGTAACTTTTCACTTGGGTTTTGTTAGAGTTAAATCTTCAATCTGTTCTAAATTCCTAGATTTAAGTGAGTGGTACTGCAGGAAGTCTATTCTGGCTCTTGTGGACGGACAGCCTTGGGACATGTATAAACCTTTGACCAAGTCCTGTGAAATTAAATTTCTTACTTTCAAAGATGATGATCCAGGAGAAGTCAATAAGGTATTTCTGCTTCTGCATTCTTTTGTCCTCCCCCCAGTTTTTCTTCCCCCTTTTATTAAAATCTGTTTACTTTGGAGTATGCTTGTGCTGTGCTGTCTCATGTCTGATTCTCTGCCACCCCGTGGACCGTAGCCCACCAGGCTCCTGTCCACGGGATTCTCCAGTCAAGAGGATAGTGGAGTGGGTTGCCATGCCCTTCTCCAGGGGATCTTCCTAACCCAGGGATCAACCCCAAATCTCTTGCCTTGCTGGCGGATTCTTTACTGCTGAACCATGGGGGAAGCCCCTATGGAGTTATACAAATATGGCCAGAGTCAAATGTTGTACTGTATTAATCAGGGTTTTAACTGGTAGATAAGGCATTTTCATAGTTCAAAAATCCTCAGTGGCATTCGTGTGTGTGTTTTGGTTTGAGAAAACTATATGATGTGTCTTTTACATTCATATCTTTGTTCAGCTTACTTTTATTAATCACCCTGTATATTGCAGTAATTTCTTTCTTGCCTTTGACCATCTCTTCTATATTATTTCAGTAATTTTTTAACTTCTCTACCTCCCTCCCTTTTTTTCTGGAAGTCTTTCTTAATAGTCTTGCAAAAGTTTTGTTGGATGATGTGACTGATTCCTAAAGCACTTGTCTACCCGATAACCTTTTGTGTAACTTTCCTGGCCTTGCGTGGATACTTCTCTGACCCTCACCTGCTCTTTGAACTTTATAGTTTCCATAGCATCTTTCCACTTCCTGCTCCGGCCACACTGGAGGACTTGATCAATAATGGTTTCTGCTCTGTTGTCCTTCTTGCTTTGAGTATTCTCTTTCCTCCCTGTTAAAATCCTGTTTATCTTTTATAGTTAAGTTAAAATGTAATCTGCTCTGTGGAACCTTCTCATGTCTTCTTGTCAGGTGAATCCCTCTTCTGGGTCTCAAAACACTTGCTTAGTGTCTCTCGACACAGTATTTTGATTTTCCTTTGTAATATGAGCTGTTGAATGCATTGGATTCTTGGCTCTGTAAAGACAGGGATCATGACCCTTATTGGGTCTTGTCCTTGACTTACATACAGTAGGTGTTTAATAAGTATTTGTTGAAATGAAATATTTAAAGAAGGAAATGATAAACATGATAATTAAAGTAGCTAACATCAAACATTTATTGTATATCGGACACTGTTTTAGGTGATTCACAGGTATTAACTCATTTAATCCTCATTAAAAAAAATCACATAAAAGGTACTGTTATCCCCATTTTACAGATAAATAAACTGAGGCAAAGAGAGATGGCAATAGCTTGACCAAGGTTACCAGTTTAGGAAGTGGCTGAGCCTGGATTTGAACCTAGGTGTTGATTCTGAATTCCTCAGACATTAGAAACAGTAAACTCAGATAGATGAAAAATTGCATTTTGCTGGCCTTCAGGGCCTGAATTTGCGTTTGTTTTTAGTGTATCTCTGTGATTGTGTAGAGCACATTCTGGAGTCTGTGGCACACAACTGAGTGAGCCCACTCTTGTCCCCAGATGTGAAGCGCTTAGGAAAGTCACGTGCCCAGTTAGAGTAATGCCGGTACAGAGCGTCAGATGGGCAGAGGAGGGGGGGTGCAGTACTCGTGTTTTTATGACTCTGTGATTGTTATTTTGAAGAAATATTAGTAAATCTTAATATTTATTATGTTTGTGTATATTTTATATTTCTAGGCTTATTGGCGTTCTTGTGCCATGATAATGGGCTGTGTGATAGAGAGGGCATTCAAAGATGAATATGTGGTCCGTTTGGTCAGAGCCCCAGAAGTTCCAGGTGATGTATACATATAAGCAAATAAACATACACACAGGTCTGCTTTCTGTATGTGAATATTTTGGTACCTATGTTTGATGTCGTATAGAAAGTGACGCTTAGTCGTGTCCGACTCTTTGCAACCCCATGGATTGTAGTTCATGGAATTTTCCAGGCAAGAGCACTGGAGTGGATTGCCATTCCCTCCTCCAGGGGATCTTCCTGACCCAGGGATCAAACCCAGGTCTCCTGCACTGCAGGCAGAGGCTTTTACCTCTGAGCCACCACGGCAGCCTGTTGTATAGAGCTCTCTTCTAATTTAATCTGGGCTTCCCTGGTGGCTCAGGTGATAATCCTCCTGCAACGCAGGAGACCCAGGTTCGATCCCTGGGTCGGGAAGTTCCTCTGGAGAAGAAAATGGCAACCTACTCAAGTATTCTTGCCTGGAGAATTCCACGGACAGAGGAGTCTGGTTGGTCACATTGCATAGGGTCACAGAGTCGGACATGATTGAGCAACTCACACTTTCATTTTATCTAATGTAAATTACCATCATACGTACATCCCATTCATTATAGTTAACAGAATTCATCTTATTTCGGTCATGTTCCATTTAATTATTAAAAGTCAATTATTAACATAATAGAACTAGAAGAGATTATTTCTCTTGAATATGCATTTCATGTAAATATACTGTGTCAGTATTTATTTATTATCATTTAAAGTATTTATTTCCAAACAATGTGTGGAGGAGGAGATGTGAGTATAAATAGACTTCTATAGAAGATTGTGTTTTAGGTGGTACCATTTCACCAGAAATGACCCTAATACTGGAGAGGGACACCATTTTTGGGAGGTGGAAGAGTTCATATTCTTTCTAAAACTAGGATTTTACAACAGTATATGTAGTAGGATCACATTTGTATTTTTTTTTAAAGGTAGAAGTTTATATGCCAAAAAATATTTGATTTGGCAATGATTCTAAGAAAAACAAAACAACAAAAAACTAATCTTTATTAGAAGATACTAAAAAATTAAACATTTCATGTCCATTTAGTTATTTACGTACTTGTTAAATATTTTGTTCTGTAGAAATTTTTATACCTAGTAACTGTTTTGATCATCAGAGAAAGCTCTGTGGTCATAATATTCTTGAAGAAAATGTGAATGGTTAAAAAATACTGGTGATGTTGGGCTAACAAAAAGGTGAGATAATTTGATATCAGAGTCGGTAGAGATCTGACAGTTAGGGTCTAAATATTCCTTTGTGTTAAATTAGTAACTTCATATCCTAACAGATTTAACTTGGCTTTTTTATTTTGGCTGGATTTACAGTAATCGCTGGAGCCTTCTGCTATGACGTCGTTTTGGATAAGAGACTTGATGAGTGGATGCCAACAAAAGTAAGCCTGCTCTTCAGAGTATTAATTTTAGAGTCTGTGCATTTCTTTGTTAGAATGATTCCTGTGTTAGTATTGTTGAATGATACTCCGTGTTGAGAATATATAAAAGAATCAGTCATTCAGTCTTTTTTTTTTTTTTTTTAGTGTATTTAAGACAGAGGTATATGGTTGAGGGTATTCACCACAGCCTGGTGCCCAGAATATAAAATATAGAGGCTTAGCTATGTTGGATCCCCAGAACACACTTTGAAAATCACTGCTCTAAACCGGTAAAAGCCTATTGGCATGCTGAGATCTTCCAATAAACAAGGATTACATTGAGAGTGGTGGTGGTGGTTGGGGAGGGGGGTGTGAATTAAAAAACATCAGCCTTTGAGAAAGCTAATCCAAAAAGCAGACTACATAGCAACAAACTAGCCTGTTCTGGAATGGTCCGCCTCCTAAATGAGGGCGCTCCTTGCTGCTCTGGGACTCGGGTAGCAGCAGGAGTCTGGCTAACAAAAGTGGGTCTACGTCAGATGCTGTGTAGGTAGGGGTTGCTGACAGCTTTTGAAAGTTAGTGACTTAGTTACGATCGGGGAGAACGGGCAGATGCCTAATTAAGCAAAACTGTATGTCCTACACTGGAAGTTTGGAAGTCACGAAAGGGGAGGCAGTGTAGTGTACCATTTTATCAACTTCACTATGTCCATTTTTTTCACATTTTAATATCTCTGAAACAAATATGTCTTTTGTTTGTTTCTATAACTTAAACCTTTTTAGTTGAAGAAAATTATAGATACCTGTGGAGTTGCCTGGTAGCTCAGCTGGTAAATGCAAAGCAATGCAGGAGACCCTGGTTCAGTTTCGTGGTGGAAAAGTTTCCCTGGAGAACGGATAGGCTACCCACTCCAGTATTCTTGGGCTTCCCTGGTCGCTCAGACAATAAAGAATCCGCCGGCCATGTGTGAGACCTAGATTCGATCCCTGGGTGGGGAAGATCCCCTGGAGCAGGGCCTGGCAACCCACTCCAGTATTCTTGCCTGGAGAATCCCCATGGACAGAGGAGCTTGGTGGGCTACAGTCCATGGAGTCACAAGGAGTCGGACACGACTGAGCAACTAAGCATAGCACAGTGGAGTTGTAGGTAGTGATACAGGGAGGTTCTGTGTTCCCTTTACTCCCTTTTCCCCGGTAGTCCCACGTGATCACAACCAGGATATTGACACCGATACAGCCAAGATGCAGAACATTTCTGTCACTGCCAGAATTTCTCTTTAATCTCCATCCTCCCCGTCCTGAAACTGTGGCAAATGCTTATCTGTTCTCTATTTGTATAATCTTATCAATTCAAGAATGTTGTGTAAATGAAGTCATATGAAATATGTCATATTAGGGGATTGACTTTTTTCACTCTGTAATTCTCTGGAGCAAATGTGACTTAACAGTAGATAGCATCTTATCATTATCACTGGTAATGTCTTTTCTCAGTGGTGCATCTTAATATTTAGTGAAATAGTTTCTAAAAGCAAGAATTTCAGAGTTGCTGATTCCAAATGTTGGCTTTGAAAGTTACTTGTTAAATAATCTTGCCCTTATTGCTTAATATCAGAAGAGAGAGAGAGGAGGGAAACAGGAAAGAAGAAAGAGAGAGAGGGAAGAAAGGTGTTGGGAGAGATGGGGAGAGGGTCAGGGAGGGGTAAGAATGGTTTCTTCTTCATCTATGGACTCATGTCAGTGTATTTCTTTATTTCTTTTTTAAGTCTGTCAAGATTCTTCCTTTACTGAAGTTAAGTAAAAACTAAGGCAGTCAAAATTTAATTCTTACTGTCTATGAAACTTGCTGCTGCTTTTTTCCTTTTTTTTCCAAAATAAAACTTTACAAAAGAAATGTACTAGTTCATCGGAGGCACTGTGGGGTTTGATGGAAGGCTTTGAGAAAGTGGGGAGAGTTATATTCAAGTAACAGCTATGTTAAACCATGAATGTGTATTTGCCAGAAATTATCTCTTTAAGAATGAGGAGAGTCATTTCATTCAAAACAGTCTAATAAGTTTATGGAAAGAATTTTATTACAAAAATTATTTGCGTAATAGTGCTTGATCTTTTCTGTATTAGTAATGATTCATAGTGTGAAAACACAATTATAGTTTTTATTAAAAATCTCATAAACATTGTTAATGTGTATTAATCATTTTAATTGTATCAAATAGATGTTTTCATTAAACAAGTTTCTAGCATTGAATTTTATGCTATATTTTGGACATGGGCAGTGATGACATTTCCTGTTGAAACTTTCTGAATCACATAAAAAATAAGTTTTTCCTCATGGATTTATTTTAAGAACTTAGTTTTACTCATAGTGTAAACAACTTTTTATATCTTACTATTTACTTATTAGCATCTCTACTTCTTGCACCATTATTTTAATAAACATTTACAAGGCTATATAAATGAAATGTTCATTAAAATTTTTTTATAGGATTATCCTTAATAATTCTAATACAGGCTGATATTTAGTTACAAGTTAATTACAAGTTTTATAGTTTGTAGAGTTGGGAGAAATTGCTAATCATACATCTCATGATTCAAGTATTCAGTTGTTGCAAATTACTCCTTCCTTTCCTAGCCAGTTGGCTTTTGCTTTTTGTTGTAGTTGGATTTATAATATTAAGCATACAGTTTTATCTACCTTCTACAGAAATGTTTGTAAGTAAATTATTACAAAAGGTTAATACTTTCATTTTTAAGGAGAACCTGCGTTCTTTCACAAAAGATGCTCGTGCTTTAATTTATAAAGATCTTCCATTTGAAACCCTGGAAGTTGAAGCAAAAGTGGCATTAGAAATATTTCAGCACAATAAGTAAGTGTTGGCTTCCTTTAAAACAAAATTAAACCTCTTAAAGTTGTATATAATGAAGAAAATTCAGCTCTCAAGCACTTTGATAGTTGATGTACGTAGCCTTTTACTTTTTAGCTTTTACTTTTGTTCAGCTGACTGTTTCCCTGAGAAGAAGTGACCCCCTCCCCAGCTTTTGGTTCTTTTCTTTCTTTGTTTTGCTGTCTTTTTTTTTTTTGTCCAGTTCTTCTCTTATGTTACCACTGCGGTGTGTTCCCCTTATTTTCTTTCATTGTGAAGGGGGTAGCCTGTGTTAAGAAACTGTATTATTTTGATTTTAAACTTAAATTTATTTAAACTGTATTGCATTTGGCAACCTTTCCTTCCCATCTTTCCACTTTTCAAATGAAAAGGGTAAGACAGCGAATGCCAGCTGTTCAGAAGCAGCTAACAGCTGAAGGGAAAACGTTCACATGGCCAGATCTTAGTCTTCCCTGTGGGAATTAGTCATTTGATGGATTTTCTTTGCCAACATTTTTAATTGTGCCTGGCTTCTCAATTTCCTTTCTCACTCAGAAAACCTCCAATTTATCTTCTACTAATTGTGAGAACATAAACAAAATTTTAATGTTAATCCGACTAGAATCCATTAGAAAAGGAAATCTGAGAATTTTTTCACTTGGACACGTCGGTGGTTGATGTCATCATTTACTTAGCTGGGGGCTCAGGAATGAGTTTGGTGAGAAAAGGGGCCGTGCGTTTTTGCTCAGTTTGAGTATTTGGGAGTGTAAGATGCTTGTCGACACCCTGGTGAAGTCCGGAGTGGTTTGCACATACAGTTCAGGGCTCAGAAGAAGTATGTGGCTGAGAAGCAGAGGTGTAGGAGATGGAAGCACAGCAGTGACGACTAAAGCTGTGCGGGCCAAGGAGCCAGCCCAGAGAGGATGCCGCGAGGGAAGGGCGCCGAGGGGCGAGACTCGCAGGGCAGGGGGAGAGGGGGGTGGCCGGAGAGCTAAGCAGCAAGCAGTAGGGAGTGCCACAGGAGCTGGTGGAGGAGAGCGCCTTGAGAAGTGGAGGTGAGCAGTGGGAATGAGGGCCTAGGTTGGCACCAAGGAGGTATCTGTGGGTCTCGTGAGAACATCACGGTGGAGTTGTGAAGCTGTGGCCAGACCAGAAGAGGTGCGATGTGAAAGGGAGGCGGGAGGGGGAGGCTCCTAGTCTGACCCTCCCTTTCAAGCACTTTGGCTGAAGAGGAAGAGAAAGGGAAGTGGCTTTAAACACCTTCTTGTATTTAGAGTTAAAACTCTTTTTCTTTTTTTGCTGCTTTTTAGGTACAAAGTAGATTTCATAGAAGAGAAGGCATCTCAGAACCCTGAGAGAATAGTCAAGCTACATAGGTAAGTAAAAATGAAAAAATTGACCTCTATGCGAATTGAATGGAAGGTTTAGTTTTATTGTTACCTGACTAGTATATCACGGAGTAAGATGAGTTTCTGCCTTTATTTGTTGTTCTTTTTATCTTATTTTCTGTTGCTTTGTTCAGTTTTTTGATACGGTGGTGATTGGAAGCTGTTATCTTCAGGAAGGGTTGCGGCTTCTGTTCCTCATTTTGCTGTTACTTTTATATTTGTATTTTACGAGTTGGAAAGCATTGTTAAAAAATGTGATTTTTAGAGTTAATTTTGAAAATGGGTGAAATATTCTTTGTTATGAATTGATCCTAATTCATATAAGTCTGTACTCATGTATGTATATAGAAATATGATTACTGACTAGTTGCTGCTTGTGTTACATGTGAGGAGTTCATATCACAGTGTGCTTCCTGATGCAGAGACGAGAGAGGTAAGACAGGGCATTAGCAAAAATGACTTCTTAGTCTGTATCTGTTTTTTCAATTTAATATTTTCTTGACTCAGACTTAACTTTTTTCCTCTAGGAAGCTGTTCTTAGGGCACAATCTGGCCTACATACTGAAACTCTAAATTCTGTTGTATTAGTTGTTACCAGTTTGTCAGATTTAGACATTGGATCCATTTGATGGCATAATACGTTCAGTGATCTTAAAAATCTTCGAAATTGTAGGAAGAAAAAGTTTCACCAATTTTAATTTTCAAAATTTTAGTCTTTTCACTTGAGATCACTGTGTCAGGGTCTACTCCAGACCGTATTGATCGATAGGCATTGTTATTGATGTAGCAGCAAATAGAATGAATAAACTTTTTTTTCAAACTCTTGTTGAGTGATGTGATTTTATGATCTAATTTGTTTATTTTTAAAATCAAATCAGATTTGGTGACTTCATTGATGTGAGTGAGGGCCCTCTTATTCCAAGAACAAGTATTTGTTTCCAGTATGAAGTGTCAGCGGTTCACAATCTGCAAGCCACCCAGTCGAGTCTTGTACGAAGATTCCAGGGTCTCTCTCTACCTGCGCACTTAAGAGTAAGTAAAGCCGAAAGTTTCAGGTTATTCAATTTGGGTGTGGGTGTGATTCCAGTCTTGATTTTTATACCAATTGGAAGGATATATATTTAATTTTCATTAAATTGTGTAACACTAATATTCCGTCAGTTTGGGTTTATGATTAAAAATAATTTTAGCCAGGATGTAAACAGATAATTTGCAAAAGAAATATTAGTTGAAAAAATTAAGTCAAATTGAGATAGTATTTTTAACATTTCAAATTCATTTAGAAGAGGGTGCAGTGGGGAGCAGAGGGGCACGTGTTGATGGGACCTTCTGGAGTGCCCTGTGGCCTTATATTTGGCCTGTTCTTCTCCCTAATTTTGAGGATCTCTGTCGCTCCCTTCTCCTCCTGCCCTCAGTCTTTCCCAGCGTCAGGGTCTTCGGGTACACAGTATATCTTTTTATTTCTTTAAATCTTTTTTCATCAGCATTTTGTAATTTTTACCATATATGTCCTTTATGTGTTTGATTTTTTCCCCACATGCCTTCCTTTCCTAGCTCTCTACATTTCAGTACATGAACTGTCAGCTACCTGGCTGTTTGAGGTCACCCTTGATTCTCTGGTTCCCTCATAGTCAGGCCCCATCCCATCCGTCAGGAAGTTGACTCTACTCTAAAACATATCGTGAATGCATCCTCTGCCAGCAGCTCATCTACTACTGCTCCCTACATCCCGTCCCTCTTTCTCCCCATTCTCCTTCCTGGCTTTTCATTCTTGCCTCCAAAGCACATTCTCTAATGAGTAGCTAAAGTGATGCTTTTAATACACAAATCAAATCATGTAATTCCTATGCCCCAAACTTGCCAGTGGCTTCTCATGAACAAATGCTGACCCTGCACCCTGTCTCACGGAACCCTGCATTGTGAGACTCCTGCCTTTCTCTGACTTCATCTCATACCACTTTCTCCAGCACCCATTACATTCCACTGAAACCTTAAAGTCTCTCACTGTACCTCATTCTGCCTGAGCCAGGTGTGATTTTCCCTTGAAATACGCCACTCTTTGCCCTTCCTCCAGAAGGGTCACGTATTTAGTCATTTTACCTTTTATCATAGATTTTACCAGCTCATCCAGTTTGAAATAGTCCCTGACCCACCCACATCCCTCAGTATCACCTTCAGCTGATTTAGTAAACATTGATGTGGTCATTTTGCACTTTGCAGTTTTCATTTATGCATTCTGAAAATTCTCTGCTGCATATGATTGTTAAGTATTAAGGAAATTAGTTCTGTAACGTTACTATTGTCTTTGTCAGTTTTTACTTGTTCTCTAGAGTAATCTACTAAATCTTCCAGGTCTGCTCTTCTGGTGTGAGATGTCACAATTGGTTCTTTGTGTGTGTGTGTTAAATTTTTATTGGAGTATAGTTGATTTTCAGTATTGTGTTAGTCTCTGCTGTATATAGCAAAGTGTTATCAGTTATACATATACATATATCCTCTCCTTTAAAGATTCGTTTCCCATACAGCAGAGCTCATTACAGAGAACTCAGAAGAATTCTTAATGAACCTTTCCTTGTAATTGCTTATGATTTGAACAGTGACCAGTAGCATGTTGAAATTGGCTATTTGAGGAAAGAATTAGGGCTTAGTGGGAGAGATTTTTGCCCATTAGAAGGAATGCTTTTTGTGGTGGTACTGATTAAGAAGGACAAAGGATGGCATGCTCAGTCCTTAAGTTTCTTGTTCTTTTTTTTTTCCCCCGCTGTTACAAGTAGAGCTGCTGTGTGTAATTGTGTGATAGGTTGTCTGGACACTTTTTCAAAGCTGTTTTCTAAGTGCTAGACGTGTAGTGTTCAGGTCATAGGTGAGCCGTGTTTAGCTGTGGAAAAATCCAGCTAAGTTTCTCTGGCATGTGGAATCTTCCTGGGTAAGGGATCGAACTTGAGTCTCTTGCATTGTCAGGCAGATTCTTTACCACTGAGCCACCAGAGAAGCCCCAAGTTTCTTGTTCTTAAATGCTAAGCAAAGCAGCTGTCCTGTATAGTGTGTAATTTTTCCCTGATCAGACTCACTTTTGTGACCTCGTAGCCTCATTAGTACTGCCTAACTTTTCATGTGTTTGTTTTCTGTATTTGTTTTGTTTAAAACCTATAAAGACTCAGCCTCTTTGATTTTAACTTTGCTGCTTTATTTAATTCATAGTAAATCTTTTCTTTTCAAGGCACATTTTACAATATGGAATAAATTATTGGAAAGGTCTCGGAAAATGGTAAGTGTTTTTGACAGCGTGTGAGTACATTTCTGTGAAGAAATTTTCCTTGAAATTAAGCAACCACCACTACCAAAACAACAAAATAATAAACAAAAAGAGAAGGAAAGACATTGGTTGTCTCATTAGCTAATGCAGTATTGTGGTGGTTGACCTCGTTAGTATTTTGGCAAAAGAAAAGTTGTTATTTGGCAATTCTGTTTTTATTTGCTAATAACATGAGAGTGATACTGTAGGAACTTGAAGAAAAATAAAACTACTGTATAGCAGTAACAGTTCTTTATGGCTATAATGGTGTTAATTAAGTCTATGCTATATTTTTTTGTGAACCTCATGAATATTTAAGGTTTGCCAGGTATGTTTTAAAGCTGCCTTGACAGTAGACACTTTAAGATATAAATGTCCTGAAAAACCATTACCCAATTAAATATTTATTATTTTGCATGATGATGTGTACAGCTAGCCTTTAGTTAATGACTTTACAGGTAGAATTTGCTATTTAGGCACTTGGCTATAATGTTCTTGTGCACAGATGATGTAATTTTCTTTTTCTAGTGAGAAGAAGGTGTTTTTGAATAGATGGAATAACTTTGTCTCTTTGGTTGGTCACAATGACCGTTTTAGATTAAGAATAAATGAATATATAAGAAATGTAGAAAGTAGTAGAGACAGTAGCCTAGAGTGTCTAGTGGAAATCAGTGAGTAGCTGTTTTTACAATATTTATTTTGGTTCACTTTCCTTCTTCCAATGTTTATTTTGCTTGTACAAAGGGAGTAGCTTAAACATATGGTTCATTGATTTAACTACAGAGCCTCGTTATGTACCAGGGACTGTAGGTGCAATAATGAACAAGATCTACTTGCTGTCCTCAAGGAAGTTACTTGAACAGCATAACTAGGCCTATAAGCAGACAATTCAGGTCTAGATGTGGGGCTCTGACATAAAGAAAAGGACCCAAGCCAAACCACTGATTGGTTAAGGAGCGTTCCCAATCATTATTTCTTAAACTGGTTTTAAAGGGTGAATGGAAGTGGGCCAGGCAGATAATTTGCTTGCAAATGGGTTTATCCCAGAGGAACCTGCTTGCCTAAGAGGCTGGTGGAATCGAGTGCATGGTGAACGTAAGAGGAATCTGGATGCACACTCACGTGTGGGATGGGTGATAAGTCTGTTGGAAATAGAATATGAGGGACTTGTCTTCTGTGATGTGGAATTTGCATGCTCCTCCCAAAGATGATTGGAGGTAACTGGAGAATTTGAGTAAGGAAGTGACCTATTGATAAACTCTTCCTGTTTACAAGCTCATTCTGCTGCCGGCATGGAAGATAACTGTGACTTAAGCCAGCAGCCCTCTAAGGGGTAGCAGATGACAAGACCCTGAAGTTCAAGCTGGGCAGTGGGAATGGCTGTGAGAGTTACATAGGTGGAATTAATAGGACTGTTGATCAAACATGCAGGTGAGAGAAAAGTGGATTTTCCCATGCCTGGCTCGGGCATCTGAGTGGAACATGTCACTGAGAGAGATAATGCAGGAAGTAGAGCAGGTAGTAGGGTGATGAGGAATGCCCTTTCGCTCTGTTTCCTGAGTGACATGTAACAAATATTAACACAGAGATATCTATTCTACTAAACCTGTAGTATACTGTGTTCAAAATAGAATTACTGATTTTTTCAACAAGATTGATTTAAAATACTTTGTTGATTTCATTTTATAGATGAAAAATACAATGACAAACTTGAGAAGCCTAGATGTGTGTCTCAGATTGTATTTTTAGTGGAATTGCACTTCATAGTTTATATTGGGAACTTGGTTGTATAAGTTTTCTTCTCTTTCTACTTAACTTTTTATAATTACTATTGAAAAAGAAAGACAAAGGATTATTAAAAAAGACTGCAGTGATTTTAAATGGTGAGTGAAGGGTAAAAGTGCTTATTAGAGAAGTAAAGCTATTTATGTTTTTACAGGTAACTGAAGATCAAACTAAACCTACCGAGAAGAGTGCATCTACCTAGTCACTTCCTCAAATTTAAATATGTATAGTAAATTAAAATAAAAGTTTTCTATGTAATGTTTGTGCGTGCTTATAAAATGAACTGTCTTTTTCTCCCTGAGATTTATACTGGTTTACTTTCTCCTTTCTCTGAAGGGAAAAACAATAAGAATTTTATATAGAAACAAACCTTCCCCCTTCTACTACCTGGATGCAACATTTAGGCATGTTTTCTACTTTCAGGGCTTTTTGTACGTATATAAACATATATGACGTTGTTGTTTAATTGTTAAGTCGTAACCGATTCTTGTGGCCCCATGGACTGTAACTGCTAGGCTCCTCTGTCCATGGGATTTCCCAGGCAAGAGTGATGGAGTGGGCTGCCGTGCCATCCCTCAGGTGATCTTCCTGACCCAGGGATTGAACCTGCATCTCCTGCTTTGGCAGGTGGATTCTTCACTGCTGAGCCCCAGGGAAGCCCCATAAACATATATGCACAGATACGAAGTTAATCTTTTACAAACATAAATAAGATCATACCATAGTTTCCCTTTTTCACTGTTTTAAACAGTGATGCAGTAAACATCTTTGTGCAAAATGGCATGCATTTTGTGGATAGATAGATTAACTGCTACTGAGTGAGTGTTTTCCATAAACCGGTCATTGTGCTGAGCTTTTCATATGGAATCTCTTATTTAAGTCTCACAACAGCCTGTTAATAAGGTTTTTCCAGTTGGCGAGTGAGGCGACTGGAACCTGGCAAGTATTAATAGCAAAGCTGGAAATTGGATCCAGGTGCTTTCACTCCCATGCCCTTATATATTATGTACTATGCTCTTGTTCATGTTTAACAGATGCATATGAATTTGTGAATCTTTCAGAAGATACTGATGGAGTTATGTATTCATTTGTTTGTTCCTTTATTTCCTAGTCCGTGAATGATCTCCTTTCTCTGGAGTCAGATTTGCTTATCTCAATTTTTCATGTTTCGGGTTCCCCCTAACCATTCCCCACCGCCAAATCTAGCGACTGTTGGTTGTTAGTTTTAGTGGAGAATGCGGCTGTAGGGAAGGAGATTGAGTGGTAGCTCTGCAGTATGGGTGAGGTTTGGCTTCTCTAAGGATGAGTAGGTGAAGCTGGCTGTTAGGATGGGGGTTTTCTAGTGCTAAAATGAAGAACTTGTCAGTTTTGATGACTGGTTTCTATGGTGACTCAACTCTTCGGTAACTTATTTTATGAGATCCCTCCTATTTTACCTATGGACCAATGTCTAGATTCAGGCCTTTCTGTATTTGGCAGTTGCAGTGGGGGGTAGAGAACGCCTGGTTTGTATGCAGACCTTTGCTGAGCCCATTCTTTTTAGTCCCTCTTCTTTCTGTCTTGTGTCTTCCACCATCTTTGAGTTCTCTGGCTGGGCAGGTCGGCTCCCTCTTCTGCAGGACCCCCCACGTATTCTGGGTGGTGACGTCCTCCACCGTTGCACTGGTCACTTCACTGTCCGTCTTTTAGCAACGGGGCGAGATTTCTTGTCTGCTGTTGCTTTCCTCTCCCGTACCCTTTGTTGTTTGTGGGTTTATGCTTTGAATTCTTTTACAAAATTGTGAAATATTTTCAGCTTACAAAATATAATTTAACACACCCTTATGTGGATGGACATTTTTCATGCTTTTGGGGCACCTTGTCCTCTTGAACAAGCATTCTTTGGTGACTTCACCCTTTATGTATCCTGTCTTACCCAGTGGAGAGTAAAACTGAGTCTCTTAAGCTTTTCTTGCAATAAGAGCCCAGACAGGTGTCCTGGGCTCACTGGTTAGACACAGCTGTCTGAAATTTGAAAGCAGTACTGTGAAGACAATGGCACGTGAGTTTCATTTTGTCCAGGGAAGCAGGGACGTGACTTTCAAGGTGGCGGCAACAACAGCGGCAGAGGTCTCATGCTGTGGAAGATGTTGGACTGAGCCCAGTAGTTTCCCCCTGCAGCCGCCCTGTGGTGTAACAGTGGGCATTTCTTTGGGTCCTGTAACCTGGCCTCAGCCTGAGCCTTGTGAACCATTTGTTTTTTGCTTAAATGAGTAGATCCTGTTGTTTGTAACCAAGAATGTTAACGTGTAGCCACTGCCCAAATTAACCATTGTTAATCTTTTCCCTTATCAGATCCTTTTGTTTTTAAATCAAGGAAAAGCTGCCTATCCATTGAAAATTTTCCTCATATTTCTAAGAAGAACTACTGTCCTTTTTGTGCATATCCTTACCATTCATGATTTGCAGTGTATAATATTCTTTGTATATTATACTGAACATAATTGGTTTCATGATATGCATGTTTTCTTGGAACTTGCTTCCGTTGCCCAGCATTGTGTATTCACATTTAACATGGTGATACATGTAGAGCTAGTGTGTGTGCTGAGCTGGTTAATGCATGTAGGTGTATATAGTATCCCATTGTATGATTAATCCCATGATTAATTCATTTTCTTATTGATGACCATTGAGGATGGTCTTGAGTTTCTAGTATTATAAATAGTACTGCAGAAAAGACTCTATTTATGTTTCTTTTTGTATACATTTGACAGTATCTGGGGTGGAACGTGCATCTTCAACTCCTAAATATGTCAGCCACCACAGCAGTGGTACTAGTTTATTCCCTATCAGCAGTCTGATAGTTCCTGTTTTCCCACTCCCTCACAAACACTTGTCATTGTCAGGCAGTCAAATACTAGGTCAGTTGGATACACATGATCTAATTTAATACTGAGCATGTAGTGACAATGAACATCTCTTCATTTGTTTCGTAGCCAGTAAGACTTCTGTGAGTGTATCACTTTACAGTCTTTACCCATTATTTATTTATTTTTATTGGATCCTTGGTCCTTTTAATAGGAGTTTCTTTATATGTTTAGAAAGTTAAACCTTTGTTATTGCAAATCTCTTCTCTAGTCTGACTTACTTTGTTGATACTGTATCTTACCTGGTCAGAATTACTCATCTTTTCCTTTATGATTTATATGCGTTTTGGAAATTTTCGAAAAGGCTTTCCTAACTTGAAGTTAATAAGGCATTCTTATAAGAAAGTTATAAGGTATTTTTTAATATTTTAAAGGCTTTTCATATTGCATCATTTATTTGACATTTAATTTTGCATATAGAGTGAGGGAAGGGATCTAATTTTGAATCCTTTCTTCCCCCACATGGGTCATGAGTTATTCTACGTCATTATTTCCTCCCTCCTCTTCAGAGGTTACCACATAATATATCAGATTCCTTTACATGCCTGAGTCCTCACTGATCTGTTTGTCTATCCCCATACTGCTCTCACACTGTTTTAATTATAACTTTGTAACATGTTTTGACTTACGGTGTGAATTCTTATTCCTGTTGGATCAGTTTGTCAACGTCTGAGTGACTAGTGTGAAAAGCTGTTTTTCTGATAAAACAGCTTTTCTACAGATAATTCTACATGAGCTTCTTTAGGTTAGTGGTAAATACTTTTCATTCCTTTTAACTTTTTATATCATTATATTTTAGGTTTTCTCTTTAAAAAAGCATATAGGAATCTTTTTCCTCCTGTCTTAAATCCATTCTCCTACAGCAATTATGGATTTGACATTTTATATTTGTCTATTTTATTTGGAGATTGTTAGCACTGTGTATTCCAGTTTGGAATTTTTATAACTTGCTGGCAAATTGTTTCCTTTTTATCGCTAGATAAGGATCCTCTGTATCCCTAATAATGCTTTCTCCCCTTAATCTGGTTTCCTCAATCTATTTTTTCTTTAATCTGGTTCTATTTTCACATTACATTTTTGTTAGTGTTTGCATAGTATTTTCTGTCCCTTTTCAACTTTTTAAAAATGTTATGTTTTAAGTCCGTATTTCGTAAATAGCATAAAATCATTGAACTTTCTTTTAAAATCCAGTCTTGGAGTGTCTTTTAAGAAGTATGTTTTAACTCATATACCTCTTCTTGTGGTTACTACTTTGCATTCTTTTCTCTCCTTTCTTCCTAAACACTGGATTTTGATCGAGCTTTCCTTCTCTTCCTCCTGTTTTATTTTATTTCTGACTGACTTTTACTGAAGGATAGCCGCTTCACAGAGCTTTGCTGTATTCTGTCAGGCCTCGGCACGCATCAGCCGCCGGGACACACGAAGCCCCGAGCCTCCCTCCCGAGTGATAGGGACTGCGCGGTCGTGGAAGGAAGGCATTGGAGTCAGTTCTGAGGAGGTGGGTGAACCTCGCGGGCCGACCTCACACACTGAAGTGAGGCAGATAAGTGTCGCATTCTAATGCACACATACGGAATCTAGAAAAATGGTGCCGAAGAATTGATTTAGAGGGAAGCAATGGAGAAACAGAGATAGAGAACAGACTCTTCTTCCTATTTTAGAATTTACATATTCTGTTTCCGTTCTTTCAGCCTTTAGAATTCTACTTGTACTAAATATCCCGTTTATGTTAAATAAAGGTGTACCATTGTTAAGTTAGAACCCTGTTGATGGTGGACTTTACATTTTTGCTTTTAAAATAATGCTTCAACTGATAACCTTGTACATATGATGCTCTACATGTGCTGATAGTTCTATAGTATAAATTCTTATAGGGGATCCTATAGGTCAAAGGGTTATGTGTATTTTAAGTTTTAATATAGGTAACTTCCTTTTGAAGATAAATTTATTCAGTTAGATTTTAGATTTGATAAATTTATTAAAGGTAAAATACTTATTTTTAGGGGAAGCTACTACTGCAGTGTTATTTCTAAGGGATCTTAAAGTTGGGTGTTATATCAGGCTTGCCTGGAGGGAGAAAAAGGGACAAATTTTCATATATATACTTTTAGTGATGGACTTTCTTAAAACAAATATGGAGACTGCCCTCTTGAGCTGCAGAATTTAGGAAGAGCCAAACTGATGCTCGAGTTGAGTCCATGCACGTTTATTGAAAAACAGTCCCTCCGGTCTTAGAATACAGATATGCCAGGTACAGACAGTCTCCAACATCAGAACAAGTTGTATTTCCAGAGTC